CTCAATTTTCTTTTATCACTGTCTTTTTTTCCACATAAACAGTTTTACTGGAAGGGGCATATGCAACAAAAACAAAAAAAAATATATATATATATATATATATATATATATTTCTAATTTGACTAATTTGAGTCTGGGTTACAATTACGTTAATGGTCCTCAAAGTTAACCCTTTAGGCGCCAGAGGTTTTTTCCTAAAACGTTCGATTTTGACATCTTAATTTCAAAAGGCTATATCTTAAAAGTGAAAAAAGATAGAGACTTTCTGTTAATTAGAGAAATATTAAGGATGACCCAAAGTTTATGTAGGGATTACATTTTCCCATCTAATTTGCATATTATGACGTCATATGGTTGTGGCAATCTTGGATTATAGAATTTTCATGAAAAGTCACGTTTAAATGATAAAATGCAGCACTTCTTTTCCCCCAAAATGTCCATCACCTTCTGTATGCTATATTGCACAATACTGAATGCTCAGGTATATAGTAAGTAGTAAACAAACTGTGTAAATCATTACTAATAAATGGTAGAAACAAACCGAATGCATGTAGTGATTGGCCTTTTGCTGTAGAGATTTTCCATTTACTAAATACAGTAGGCACTCTGATTCCATGTATGGGGCAAATATATTTTATTCATATGACATACAAACACAAGTAGACAAGACCTGTTTAGTTCAAACACTCACTCGCACAGATCACAAGTGACATGATACGAGCAGCGCGGCCAGATCTGCCTCGCGCGCGCGCGCCGAGTGTGCACAGCTCGGACTACTGTCATTGTCATTGCGACTCCTCACCCTGCCTCCACGTTGCCTCGTAACTGTCCTATGAATACTTCGACCTCGTCTAACATACCCAGTGGTATTAGACAAACTCTCCACCACAATACTGTCGCCGCGATTGCGGAGAGGATCTGATAAAATGGCTTACTCGCACACTAGCTCCGCTTTTGATCGCACTGATTCAATGCGCTCTAACTCGAACATTTTGTATAGAAACATGACGTTTTTTTGATTCGGGGATGAAGTATGACATGTCTGCCATCCAGTGGTGGGGAGGTTGAACGAAATTTGACACCCAATTTGACAAAATCGGCCTTTTTTTTCAGTGCCGCGTCTTGTCGAGTAAACTCGACCGTGGCGCCTAGAGGGTTAAGAGCCAGGGGGCTTTTATTTATTTATTTTTTGTCAAGTATGTAACCATAGACTGTAAAAAAATATGGACAAAGCGTCTGACGTCACCCATAGACTTTCTGAAGAACGGTTTTGAGGCCGTTTATGGGGGGTATGGGCGGCGCCATCTTGGGAAATCCTAACCCCGCCCACCTTCTGGCCAATCCATATATGGGTAAAAGAGTGGGCTTTGTGTGAGACTGAGCCGGCCGGTGGACGCGCCTCTTCAGCCAAGCAGCCTCAGCTATCTGTAACGTTACAAGATCGACTGGCAGACTAGGCTACTTTTTACATGGCTACTACATTCACTGCTAAGCTGCTGAAGAACACTCCAATGTGGGACATATCAGTCTATTGTTGTTATGTTACATTTATTCATTTGGCAGACGCATTTACAGTGTTTCAAACGTCAGTTATAACCATAGGTAAAGTACCTCGGACGCTAACTTATCTTGAGGCGATTTAATGCTAACTGCTGCAGTGCCACTGCCCTCAAACATTGATGCTAAATAGTGCTAACTACGTGAAATAGTAGTGGAATTTCACTTACCGGAAAAAATGGAGCGAAGTACTCCTACAGTGTCGGTTAGTGCAGTTTATAGCAGAGCAACCCATTTTATGTACGATATTTCAATACAAATGTTAGAAAGGATACAGAGGTGGTATGATGTGTTGTGTCAGATCATGGCCGAGACGTCAAATTTAAGGAATTCCACTCGGCGCAGCTCGTTATCAGCTGTCAATCAAGCTGTCAATCAAAGTTAACCACGTCCTTATTTGTCATACATTTTATATCTAAATATGATCTAAACTAACAAGTTAAAAAAAATTCACCCCCCTCACAGTTGTCAGTAGGGGTGCACGATTCAGAAAATGTCACGATTCGATTCGATACCGATTTTTTGTCTCAAGATTCGATTCAAAATCGATTCTCGATTCAAAAAACGATTCGCAGTATATAAATGTAGTTTACTTTTTCCATGTGATTGATTGCAGTAGACACAATTTAAAAGAAAAAAAACCCACAACAAATTAAATGTAGTTTGATATTACTTTATATGTTTTCATACAAAAATAAAAACTTTTGCAACTAAAAAGTGCAAAGTGCCAAGCTTTGGCCAGCTTTCAAATACATTTAATTCAAGTTTAAAATAAAACTTAAATAAAAAGCTTTTACATTTAGCTTTAAAGTGCTGTAGTCAGATCAAACAATGTGGTTTAAGGACTACTTCAGCTACCAGGCTGACTGTTGAAATGTAAACTCGACTGGGCACATTGAACTTCCTAAAAATATATACTAATGTCATAGAACCCTTGCGAAATTATTTAAAAAAGCCACCGCTACTGGTAACATCTATGGTTAGATTGATTTGTTTAGATCCAGTGAAGTCGTTCATAGGCGTAATTTGCGGGTATCTCCAGTTAACTAGCAGAGCATTCATTAGTTCGCTATTAAATAAGAGATCTGTTGTTTTTGAAATCAAGCTGAGCGCTCGTGTCCGCTGCTATCAGTGTCATGGATACAGTGTTTTCTGTGGCTCGCGCAGTCTTCACTCGGACACGCGCTTCAATCTATCGCCGTTGTGGAGACTCCGCTGAAATCAGTTTTGATGAGAGAGAGAAAAAACTATACGAGTGCGGTTTAGAACCCGTAACCTCTGAAAAGCTTGGCAAAAGATCTACAGAACTCAAACATAAGATCTGCGGATCGATGCATTTATTCACGGGTTGAGCAGAGAGGCTGCAGTTTGACCAGCGGGCCGCAAGAACTTGCAATGTAACTATTTATCAGACCGGCCCTCGCGGCCTTGAAACACTACCGAACCACCGGTAAAAGTCCCGACTCACCCGATTGCCACTCCGCCCGTGCACGCCATTAAAAAAAAAATATGAATCGATTTTTCGAATTCTATGAATCGATTCTGAATCGGTAAAGATTGAATCGCGATTCAAATGTGAATCGATTTTTTTGCACACCCCTAGTTGTCAGGCACTGTCAAAGAAACCTATCAAAGAATACAATAAAAGTCCATGGGACCAACCTGTAAAAACATGAATTTATGCTGTGAAAAAACGTACTCGGTTACTAACGTAACCTCGGTTCTCTCTAGAGAGGGAACAAGTACTGCGTAATATCTTACGCTATGGGGAAAACCTCTTTTCCTCGAGATATTGAAGCCAAAAATTATCCTTAATTTTGAATCAATGTAAAACGCGTTGCGACAGCATGCAGACATAGGCAAGGCGGCTCGCGTGCCTATTGGCTGACCTGTGGCAACAGCAGCAGCCTATCGAGAGAGGCCCTGCGTGACGTGATACCCAATGGGGGTGCTTCGCGCCCATTTACGTCACGTCCCGCCAGAATAGGCGTGGCCTTGGCCTATAAATATAGCTCGACAGGCTGATACAAACTGGTTTTCATCGCTGAAGCGAACCAGAGCTGTTGTATGCACGGCAAGATACGCAGTACTCGTTCCCTCTCTAGAGAGAACCGAGGTTACGTTAGTAACCGAGTACGTTCTCTTTTACGAGAGTATCTCTCGTACTGCGTAATATCTTACGCTATGGGGAACACAATGCAACACGCCGTGCTTACTGGGATCCGACACCAAAGTCCCAAGGGCAGTAGCCCGGGTCTCATATAGTGCATAATCACCATAGACTCACAGAGAGTCGGAGAAGAGAGGCTGCAAGCATCATTCCCCATGAAATAGCATCCTACAGGAGCTAGTTATGTTAGCAATGTTTCACGCAGACTATAGCTGTGTCCCAATGTGAAGGCTGCATCCTTCCAAGGCCGCGGACTTCGAAGGATGCAGCCTATTCGTCCTTCGAAGGACGCACCATATAGCCTTCGTATGATTTGTAATTGCGCCACCAGGTGTTCCCCATTATGCTGTCGCCTAGCAACGTGGTGATAGGAGAGAGCTACCATTCTACACGGCATTACTTGTTGAAATGGAGCAAGAATATATCATTTTTATTTTTATCTTTTATGTTTTGCTGGAGGAGATGGTGGGGATTCATCCCCGGCGCCGCCGGGTGATGTATCTCCGGCTTGATCAAGACCGTGGCCAGGTAAGGTAATCTGGTTTGCTGCATCCCAATTCAGAAGTTGCGAATTTAATTGCTGCAGTACACTTTAAAATGTACATAAGTATTGGGTGTACTTGAGTACTTATGAAAATACTAAATACACATAAAGCTGTTCAAATGTTCATTTATAGCCTACCAGATGCGATTTTTTATGGAGTTTATTCTCTTGATCATAGTGATCTTATTTATGCATGTTTCCAGCATGTTTTGTTTTAACGCAATTGAAGCATAAAACACAAAACAATAAATAAATAAAGTGAAATATGCCCTTTTTTTAAAAACAATCCTGCAACGGTACTCCCGCTCGACTTCGGATGCAGCCTTATATGGGACGCATCTGTTGTTAGCAACAATTCCTTAATATTGTGAAAATAAATAATTTAAACAAATAAGCAAGTACATTCGTTAAGTATTCACGTATAAATGTGAAGTAATGAGGGTGTTTTCTCTCACACAGGATAGCAACACTACAAAAACATCGTCTTTTACAATATTATGCATTGTTGTATAGTAAACTACTCAACAGTAAAGTACTTTAAATATAAAACCCTTCAACATATTCAGAATTAAAATGCAACATACACATAGCGCAGCAGTACTATTAATGCAACAACATCATATCTAAAAACCCTGACAACGAGGGTTTTTTATGCATAATACATAATACATAATACATACTAAATAAAAGTAGTTTATTAAAACTCTTTTGTTTCTTTCCCTAAATCAGACCAGACCCCTGTACTGCAGGATCAACCTGAGCGTGCCAGTTCTGGACAGTTTTTTTAATGATTTGGACACACGACCTGATTTTCGGCTGAGCAGGGACGCCCTGAGAGTGCTGCTGGGCCTGTTGAGGACTGAACGCCAACACGGATGGGGTTCCACAATAGAGACCCTGGTATTTATTTTCTGGCTTGCGTGTGGCACATCATACAGGGTTGTCTCCAGAGTGTTTGACATGCCTCGTTCCACTGTCCACCGCATTGTCCACCGGGTCGCTGAGGAGGTGGTGGCCATTCGCCACCAAGTCATTCATTTCCCCAACACCCCAGAAGACCTGGAGGCAGTTTGCCGTGGGTTTGCAGGGCTGGCCAGACACCGAGCTTTCTTGAAAGCTGCAGGAGCAATCGACGGCTGCCATGTCCGTATCAAGCCTCCAAGCGGCCCTGATGGTCAGTGCTACAGGAACAGGAAACTGTTCCCGTCTATCATCCTGCAGGCTGTTTGTGACCATCAGGGCCGCTTCATTGACACCTACGTGGGCTGGCCCGGGTCAGTGCATGATGCACGAGTGCTCCGGTACAGCCCACTGTACAGGAGGTCAGTGTACCCTCCTCCAGGGCACTTCATCCTTGCAGACGGAGGGTACCCATGTCTCCAACACCCGCTCCCCCTCATCACTCCCTACAAGAGGCCAGTACGAGGAGTGGGACCCCAGCGCTTTAATCTTCATCATTCCAGGGCACGCTCCATTATAGAGCGTGCTTTTGGGATGATGAAGACCAGGTTCCGATCCATCTTCCTGAAAGCGCTGGAGGTGCACCACACTTTTGTACCCCATGTAAGTGAATTGAAAATACATTTGCAAAAAACATTAAAAAAAATGAACATCTTTTTTCCAGACCATATCATTTCTTGTTTTGTTTTTTCAATTCAGGTCATCACAGCCTGTGCCATCCTCCACAACATCTGTCTTGGGGTTGGTGACATCATGGCCCCGGAGGATGAGCACGAGGAGGATGATGCAGAGGATGAGGGGGAGCATGTTTTGGAGACAGTCAGCGGTGCTCCCTGGCGTGACCGGCTGACTGCAAAGGTGTCTGCCCTGGAGGAGGTTCCCATCGACCACAACTACTTGTAACAGGCAAGTCTGAGAACTGTAAAGCTATAATGGCCAAGACCACAAATGAATGTCCATAGAATGGGTTTACATGTTGAAATATTTTACGCTTTAAATTGAGGACGCAAGTTAATTAATTTTATTCTTACCTCTTTTTAAAATTATCTCAGTGAGATGGCAGCCGTCGATTTAATCAGCCCTGCAAACCTATTGAGACAACTTAGTGGATAGTGGAAACATGCACTCAAACACTCTGGACTGGAGCCCATCCCAGATGATGTCCCACCAGCAGGAGGCTTTACCAGGGTCTCTATTGTGGAGCCCATCCCAGCCCAGCAGCACCACCAGGGTCTACCTGTTCAGCTAAAAGCGTACATTTTGTTGTTTTTGTTTTTCCAATCTGTTTTATGTACTGTTAATTTGAATTATTTTTCTATTGTTGTAAATATTTGTAAAAAGTACTTGAAATAATTTTCATTTTACATGCTAAAAAAAACATGAATAGAAGTCAACAATGTCCAGAATAATTCTTGTTTTATTTTCAAATGTAAATAAATAAAAAGATTCGCATTACAAAAATAAACAATGAATAAAAATTGCCTTGCCTCATTTACAAATAACTTAAATTAGTGACAAAATAACTTAAATCAGTGACAAAAAACATAAATACAAAAACTTAATTATATTATTTTTTTTCAATCATTCTCTCAAGTAAAGTAAACAGTCTGTCCATTCGATCCCTGCTCTCTTGTGCTCTCCTCTCCTCTGTTTCCCTTTGATACCTCATGTCCTCCATCATTAGCTCAATGAGCTCGTCGCTGCCTCTTCTCCTGTTGGCTGGGTCTGGGACTGCTGGGGCTGCGGCTGCTGGGGCTCTGGCTGCTGGGGCTGGGACTGCTGGGGCTCTGGCTGCTGGGGCTGCGGCTGCTGGGGCTGGGACTGCTGGGGCTGGGACTGCTGGGGCTCTGGCTGCTGGGGCTCTGGCTGCTGGGGCTGCGGCTGCTGGGGCTGGCTCTTTATCCTGGTCAGCCACCGCTGAACTTGGCCCAGGTTTGTCCTCAGGGATGGAGGCAATTAGGATAGGGGGGTTGTTGGAAGGCCTCTGTCCCAAGACCTCATCCATGTGGACAAACCAGGGCCAAGTTGCAGCAGTGGATTTCCCGCTCACCCCCTCACCTGTCCCAGGACACTTGCAATCCTAAGGCAGAGCAAATACACCATACCTGTTGTTAAAAAGAAGAACACCACAATACATTTCAGCAAAGATGTGTCAATTAACTTGCTTACTTTGTATTTTTTTTTTAAGTTGTCCCATTTTCTTTTGGCCTGCAAGGGAGTGACCTTCCCTTGCAGGTCCATTTTCTCCAGAATTCTCCTAAAAAAAAAAAAAGGAGAAAAAGGTTAGGGTTAGGACTTTACGAAAAATATTAAGACAGGGGTGCAATCTTAACATTAGAAAAATCACACAGCAGTACATGCATACAAAATACCAGAAATTATATTCCTGGATCCTCAAGTTTGCTTAAAATGTTTGTTGAAAAAAACACTAAGTGAAAGACTATTGCCTTAACTAGTTCTTGTCTCATTGCTGTGGGCTTTGTACAGGGTGAGGGCTAATTTTTGTATACAAGAGGCAGCTAGTGGAAATATTACAAATGGTTAATGATTTTACCTCCAAGCCACAGTGGCCGAGTTTTTGGCCCCTGTAAACAAGTGGTCATTTTCGGCCCGTAATTTTATAAATGCAGCCGTCTGCTCCTTGGTCCCTGAAACAAAAAGTATTACAACAGGTTTTGCCTCATAAATGAAGCTTTAGTTTAAGTTCAGGTTTTTTTAAGAAACATCCCTGGGTTTTAACACTTGTTTTGCTAGCTATTTTGGGTAAATTAAATAATGTATTGTGGACACCGCTATGTTTATCTACCACATTTCAGCTGGATTTGTGCTGCTGTTTTATTTACTTCAATATACCCTCCTACTTGAAATTCACTGCATAAAAGTTTATTAATATTGTGTCTTGTTTCTAGTTCAAACATCTAAAAATTCTTAAATCAAGAAGCATTTAGCCTACTAGACAAATAAAACATTTCTTGCTTTGGGGGAAAATAACTTAAAATTAAGTGAGTTTTTGCTTAAAACAATAACATAATTTGCTAATGGGTTAAGATAAATAATCTTAAATCAAACAGAAAACAAGATTATTTTACTTACACCATTTGGCAGATTATTTTGCTTATTTTAAGCAAAAGCTCACTTAATTTAGTTTTTCCCCCCAAAACAATACAATAACTTCTGCTTGTCTAGTAGCCTAAAAGCTTTTTTTAAAATGTATAATATAAACAAGACCAAAAAACTAAGCAAGAAAAGCATTTTGTACTTTAGTATTTGCTTCATTTAACTCAGGGCTTGATCCATATTTATGCCTTTAACAATTGTTTCGCTAGTTATTTTAATAAATTAATTCACAATAACTTACATTTATAACTGAATTCCTCGGTCACCACACAACTAACACCTGCCATTCTAATTGAATAAACTCGCGTGAGTCGCGTCGTCACCAGCGCGCTTTGAATTCTGGGGAAGCGTAGGCCGCGAAGTGTCCATTTTTGTACACTTCGTTTGTCCGAGAAACGAAGGGCGCATTTGGGGTCGCATTTGAATGACATACCAAACTTAGTCGCGCCGCGGTGACGCAATTGGCCTTCCAAGCGTGCAGAGTTTGAATTGGGACAGTCTTCTTAGCACTGCTGTGACGCAATCTGCTTTAGAATGCGGCCTTCGAAGGGCGCAGTGTTTGAATAGGGACAGCCTTCGTCGCGCCGCTGTGACGCAATCGGCCTTCAAATCCGGCCAATCGGCCTTCAAATGCGGCCTTCGGAGGACGCAGCCTTCACATTGGGACACAGCTAAGGTGAACGTGTTCAGCCTGAACTGGGTGACAGTACGGGTTATTCAACACCCATGGAGCTGTTTTATCGATCAGTGAACGATACACGAGCAAAAAACTCAGCATTCTGCGCCGGCGCAGCGGGGCAGATAGTACTGAATTCTCGACCGACAGCAGCTTGGCCTGTAAGGCGGGATCCTCTAGGTTATAGAACCTTATAAATGTAGACGGCGAGGCCCAGCCTGCCGCCATACAGATATCTTGTAAGGAAATCCCACTCGACCACGCCCACGACGAGGCCACGCCTCTCGTGGAGTGTGCTCTGACACCCAAAGTACACTGCAGGCCTTTAGAAGTGTAAGCCAGCGCTATGGCATCGACTATCCATCCGGATAGGCTCGGTTTTGATGCGGCCAGTCCCCTGGAGCGTACGCCAAACAAAACAAAGAGCTGCTCGGTCTGTCTGAAGATAGACGAGCGGGACACGTAAGCTCTCAGTGCCCTGACAGGGCAGAGGAGACTCGCATCCTCCTCCTCATCATGAACCGGGAGGGCGCACAGGGAAATAACCTGGGCCCTGAACGGTGTGTTGAGGGATTTGGGCACGTGTCCGTGCCTTGGTTTGAGTGTGACTTTTGAGTCATTGGGCCCAAACTCCATACATGACGCGCTTACTGAAAGCGCTTGTAAGTCCCCTACGCGCTTCACTGAAGCGAGAGCCATAAGAAACACCATTTTGAAAGACAGATGTTTCATGTCTGACAAATGGATTGGCTCGAATGGGGTACCTTTCATGGCTTCCAAAACAGTAGAAAGGTCCCACACAGGGACTGAAGGGGGTCTGGGAGGATTCAGCCTCCGAGCTCCCCTGAGGAATTGCACGACCAGGTCGTTTTTCCCCAGTGACTGGCCAGGCGTTGGTTTTGCAAACGCCACTATGGCCGTCACGTACACTTTGAGCATGGAAGGGGTCCTGCCCTTATCCAGCAGCTCCTGAAGGAAGGAGAGTACTTCCGTAACCCCGCAGTCTACGGGTGAAAAGCCTTGAGCTTGAAACCAGGCAGAGAACACCGACCATTTCGAGGAATAGAGCCGTCTAGTAGACAGGGCTCTGGCCTGCGAGATCGTGCTTAACACTCCCTTCGGGAGGTAAGCGGGTACCCATTGATGGCCCACGCACGTAGGGACCACAAATCCGGGCGAGGATGCCAAATTGAGCCCTTTGCCTGAGAGAGGAGGTCTCTCCTCACCGGTATAGGCCACGGGGCGGTGCTGGTCAGCCGCATCAGGACTGGGAACCAGATCTGGTTCGTCCAGAGCGGAGCCACGAGCAGCAATGGGCATCTTTTTTCCCTGATTCGTTCCAACACTTGAGGCAGGAGCGAAACGGGGGGAAAAGCATAGAGGGGGCAGCGGGGCCAAACGTGGGCCAGCGCATCCCTGCTCTTGGAGAAAAAGTTCAGACAGTGAGCGTTTTCTTGGGACGCGAACAGGTCCACCTGCGCTCTGCCGAACATTTCCCACAGCAGTTGGACCGTCTGCGGGTGCAGCGACCACTCCCCTGCTGGGACATTGTTTCTGGACAGTCTGTCTGGTCCCACATTCAGGTGACCAGGCACATGTGCTGCTCTCAGCGAGAGCAGGTTGTGCTGAGCCCAGACCAGGAGGCGTTCCGTCAGCCTGTAAAGGTTTCGGGACCTGATGCCGCCCTGGTGATTTATGTATGCCACCACTGACATGTTGTCCGACTGGACCAAGACGTGGTGACCTTTTATCTGGGGACAGAAGTGCCGTAGCGCTTTGTCGACTGCTATCATTTCCAAGCAGTTTATGTGAAGGAGCTTTTCCCGTTCTGACCACAGGCCAGCGAACGGTCTGCCCTCGAGCAGCGCTCCCCATCCCGAGGTGGAGGCGTCCGTGGACACCACCTTCACACTCGAGGAGGTCCCCAGACTCACACCTGACTGATACCAGTCGGTTACTTTCCAAGGTTCCAGAGCTGAAACGCACTTTAGATCGACCCTGAGGCGAAACAGACCAGTGGTCCATGCCCGGGGCGGAACTCGCACTTTCAGCCGCAGCTGCAGTGGGCGCATGCGAAGCAGACCCAGCTGGAGTACAGAGGCTGCTGAGGTCATTAGGCCCAGCATTTTCTGAAACCTTTTGAGCGGGACTATAGAGTCGTGGCGGAAGGATTTCGCGACGCGCTGAATGTCTAGTCCGCGTTCCGGTGACAGGCGTGCTGTCATGGATAGCGAGTCCAGCACTGTTCCCAGAAAAGAAATTTTCTGACTGGGAGACAGCAAGCTTTTTGCCCAATTGACTGTGAGGCCCAGATTCTCGAGGTGTTCGAGTAATGTGGCCCTGTGTTCTATGAGCTCTGAGTGTGATCGAGCTAGAATCAGCCAATCGTCCAAGTAGTTCAAAACTCGCATGCCCCGAAGTCTCAGGGGTGCGAGAGTCCATGCACTTCGTGAATGTACGGGGTCAGGGCCGGATTAACCATTAGGGCAACTGGGCACTTGCCCAGGGGCCCACGACATCTAAGGGGCCCTGGGCACCAGGGGCAGAGTGGCAATCGGGAGTTTCCCCGGTGGGCCGGTAGTGTTTCCAGGCCACGAGGGCCGGTCTGATAAAATGTATTCATTGCAAGTTCGCCATGCGCACTTGTGGCCCAAGCGAGGGGAAGAAAAACATATTTTAGATAACGGAGCGTATATTTGCACTAAGTGCCTGTCTTTTTAGCAAAAAGACGCCCGTCTCGGAATAGCTGCAGTGGCGTAGGTCGTAGCGCGTGAAGTGCTTGAAAGCAGCTTTTGATGCGCTCGACCCGAGTTCGAATCCGCCTTTTGCCGAACTCTCTCTTCTCCCTTTTCCCTACACATATGAGATGTAAAATGTATAACCTAACATAAAGGTCTCTAGCGTTATATTTTGCCAACGAACTAAAATCGAAACCATGATATGGCTTTGTGCCTTGTAAAGACTCTGCTTGGGTCTGATCAATGGGGAATTTGCATGTCATAATTAATAATTAATAACTAATAATTATTCATACAGATTTGGATCAGCCCAGTCTTACATGTTAATAAATCTCCCATTAAGGGAGGCTTTGTCATTTTACCTGCGTGCATACATGTGTATCCCCACAATTAATCACAAA